TGGCAGGCCAAAGTTTACAAAATACTCCACAGAGTCTACGGGTACCAATACTGCTTCATCACACAGATTTTCGAAGACTTTCTACAAATCCATCAACGTTTTAGACGCAGTGGCTGGGAAAATCGGGCGACAGACACTCTCGTTTACGATTCGCATTTTATGTATGTCTGGTTTAAATTGCTCAAACACTCTTACATTCACTATTGCCAACAGAAAGTCACCCCTCGCCTGCACATTTTCACCTGTTTATACCTTACTTATACCTTGCAAGGCATAGAACCTACATATCCAATCTCTCCTTTTGTCGGCTACAGCGAAGCCACCGACAGCGCACAAATTTACGAGCATTCCATTCGCATCATCAACTCTTCCTTTTCTATGAGCGTCCTTAAACGACCCACCCCCCTCCCCCCGACGTTATCGCTATTCCATCATGGAACCCCTGAAGCGGCGAAAAGAGATACTACAAAAGTCACTTCAACAAGCTCTGTTCGACAAAGAAATGGATGGGATAGATCCATCCATATTTGATGAGCCGATGGACTAAGTGAAAAGCAAGATGAGGATGGATCTATCACCCAAAAAACACTACAAGAGTCACTGTAACAGGCTCTGTTCGACAAAGAAATGAATGGAATAGAATTCGACGATAACTTAGTCACGCCGTAAAATGCTTGGTCGTAACGCTTACAACTCCCTCTCACGCTCCCGTTTGTTGACAATCCCCACTTCTACCCGGTTTGCACTCCCGCTACTGGCCTAAACGTCAGCGCAGGTGGATGAGCAGTACGCGCTGCAGACGAAATCGCTGCTGTAAACGAAACTTCCGTACACGTTCGGCGTCACGTAGTTGCCCGTCTTGCGCGTGTTCATAAACAGCCCGCAGTACTCGCGAAACGGCTCAAAAATACCTTCGTCGCACTTCAGGATGTGCTGCACCAAACGGTCCTTCAACAAGCACTGCTGCAGACAATTCCAGTACTTTTCAAAGCACAGAGCGTAGACGGTCTTCAAACACCTCACACTGCTACTTTTCCCAACAACTTCGTCCGAACGGTCCAAACTGCAATGATTCGTCTCGTCGCTAAACACGAACAAATCGTCCTCCAAACGGTTGTAGTAAAAGAAACGACCGGTGCGTTGTCCCGTTGGAGAGAACGTCAGCATCTTCACATCGTCGCCGAAGCTCAGCAAAATTTGACGAAAGCGCTTCAAAATGTCAAAATTCTCTTCTACAAAGAAGGAAAACATCAAATCGTTCAACAAACGGCTTTGGAACCGAGGAACGTTGCTTCGACACACACCCTTTAACACCACGGCTGTATCGTAGTCCAAGCCCACGTACTTGCTATAATTGATGTAGAACAACTTTGAAAAATGATGCTTCGAAACCAAGTAGTTACCATAGAAATTACCATCTTCCTCTTCTTGAAAACCAAGTTCAGACTCGTAAACGAAGACGGAATCGCGACAGCACAAGACAATTTTGCCCATGTAACGATTCACCAAACGACACATCAACAAAATGCCCAGATTGTTGCAGGCGTGATACATCGGACAGCCAGAAACGCGCTTGGAATACCCCAAAAGCTTGACCAGAAAACTCTTGCAAGTAGACGCTAGAACCGGATCATCGTCAATCGCTGCAGTGTCTTTCAACGCTACCAAAAGACGTAAGGTTTCGCAAAGACGGCTGTTATTATCGTTGCCGAAATAGTGTAAAAAGATCGAGGCTGAAAAGTTCTTGAAGTCGTAGGCTATAACGTTCGACACTTCGAAGACTTGTTGCTGTTGTGAAGGCGGCTCTAATGGCGTCTTCTTGTTCTTCTTCTTCTTCTTCTTCTTCTTCTTCTTCTTCTTCTTCGTTGTGTCATCGTCAAAAAGACCAAACGGATCGACAAGATCGAATTCTTCTGCTTCCGTTTCTTCATTTTCAACCATCATTTCTTCATCGCTATCAACTTTTTTCATTTTTTCATCATTTGCGGCAGCTTCATAGACGGCGTCAGAAACAAACACCTTCGTCTCATTAGCCGTAACCACAGGAAAAAAAGTTTGGCAAACGGACCCTTTCGAAATAAACTCTCGAATGTACTCTCGACCGAACAAAATCGCGCTTTGAGAGTCTTCCATGTACCACGAAATTAAACGGCGAGCCAAGCGGTTATCATCATCAATCTCTTCTTTAAAAGGCAAATTAGGATTAAAAAGCACTTCGAAACTAGGCATTTTCACCCGAATATCGCAATCGTGACGACCGACGTAATAAGACTCTTTTTCTTTACTTTTATACTCCGAAAACAACTCGTGCATAGAATCGGGCGTTAGAAGCAAACTCAACAATCGACTGTACACGTTTTCCACGCAAATATCCACCAAAACGTTACCAACACCACCATTTTCCGACCGCAAATAATTTTCGCTTTCATGACAAAACACTTTCAAAACGGCCGTATCGACATCGTCGCCATTTACCAAAAAAACCACCACGGGCTCTTCGTTCTCTCTAGACAACAACATTGACAGCCGCTTTTGCATCTTTTCCAACATTAAAGTCCTCTTCAAAACGCTTCTCAAAGCATAATTGTATCGACTAGACGACAGTTGACAGCATTGATTCATAAACTGCTCTTCGTACATCTCATTCTTGTCGTTCGCGTCGTTGTAAACGTGACAGCGGATGTTCCTGTAATGAACGAACAGTTCGTCGGATTTCTCTGACGTCACGCTCAAGAAACGAGATGGCGCAAAAACGTTACGAAACCGTTCAAGTTTCTTCTCGAATGCCATGTTGTCGTCGTTATGAGCCCTTTATCTCTCTCTTTATATACAAATAAAAACCTTCCTTTTGCTTAATCTGACGGCACCTAAACGTCATAAGTCTCTCTCGTGAACCTGTGATATATGTTTTCTATGTTTGAGACCAGGATCAATCGCTTGTGAAAATGCCAGAATTAGGGGTTTTTGAACATTCAATTACTGCAAGAACCAAGGTTTGAACACTTGTGAATCACCATGTTTGAGACAGATTCATTGCTTGTGAAAATGCCAGAACTAAGGGACTTTATTACTGCAAGGACTTTTAAAACACTTGTGAATCATTTTTTTTCCTCTACGTTTAAGTTTGAATGATGTGATTATGTTGTATATATGCTTGTTTCTCCATATTTGAAGTGCTTTTGACCAATGCTTGTACATACGACAAAGTGGGCCTACGGCCATTATTATTACCTTCGATTGGTAGCATATGCACTACGCTTTACTCTCCTGGAAGGCTAAGGAGTCTAATTCTATTACATTCTAGACTTTATAACTCTTATAACCACCAAATGTAGGAACTTTTCATTGAAAGTCGCCTTGTTTGTACGTACAATGAATAAACACAATGTCATACGCTATTATTATTATACGCTTAAAGCTGACAGAATGTATGAACAACGATTACGTCCTTGCTTTTTTACAAAGAATAGGCACAATGTTATACACCATTTAGACGATGTATACGCTATTTACATACATACGATTGGACAATCCGTTTGAACTCTTTACAGACGAAAATATTCCGAAAAAAAA